CACACAAACTCATGATCCCATCGACATGTTTTGTTAGTCTTTAAGGTGCTGCGAGACCATTTGTTAAGTTTTTCCAGTTACAGACTAACTCGGCTCCCCATCTGAAATTATTATCCTGGAAGTTCATCTATGCAGATGATAACTCTGCTAGCAACACAAGCGTCTTCTCTGAAGGTCACAAAGATCATGAACAATGAGCTTTGGACACTTGAGACATATTTCATTGGCCACCCCTCTTATTTCCAAACTGTGCATGTAGATCAGTGTTTCTTAAACTTTTTAAGACCAAGAAACACCAAACAACCTTTTTTTTTTTTTTTTGCAGAACACAAAGGGATTTTTTGTTGTTGGAAAAAAAAAAAAGGATTCACAGCTTAAGTAACACTGCTGTAGATCACGTATGCAGTTAGCCCTCCGCATGCAGTTGTGTGTTAATTCTGGCCCATCTCTTGATAGGTTTGTTATCCTAAAACTCTGCTTTCATACAATCTGGTCACTGATGCAGCAGGCACAGCTAGCCAGCTCTAGACGTGTCTTTAACAGGAGAAGCATCACATGTCATTTAGCTGCTACCAGCAACAACTGAAAGGATGCTTTACATTGGAGTGGGGAGCTTTTTGGGGGGTCAGAGGCTGCTAACCCACACAGATATTAGTTGGGGGCCACACAAAAGGGAGAAAACACACACACACAAATTCCACAAAGCACCTTGATGTGGTAGGCTGTTCTTTTTTTTATTTAGGATTTTAGTGTGATGGCTGAGTTTGCTTTTTGCAGGGAAGGGGCTGAGGGTGTGTGTGATTCCCACCCACCCCTTCCCTCAAGTCCTGCATGCCTCCTTAACTGCTAAGGCATTGCTGGCACTGTGTGGCTGGGGCCAAACTATACAGGGAAGGAGTTCTGGGGCTTGCCCCTTCCTCCCTAAAGGCACCCCATGCAGGGAAAGGTTCTGGGGATTCCCTTCCCTCCCACTCTGGGAACAGATCCCCCCCTCCAGTTCCCTCCCTCCCACTCTTGGCTGGGGCCAAACTATACAGGGAAGGAGTTCTGGGGCTTGCCCCTTCCTCCCTAAAGGCACCCCATGCAGGGAAAGGGTTGTGGGGATTCCCTTCCCTCCCACTCTGGGAACAGATCCCCCCCTTCGGTTCCTCCCTCCCACTCTTCTGGTCCCGCACTTCTCCTTACCAGCAAAGGGAATTTTGCTGGTAGCCTGTGCAGCTGCCGGAGGCTGGAAAGCAGCTCCAGCCTTTCCCACTGCCACCTCAGGGAAACGCCGCAGCGCTCCAGCACATGGAGCTTCTCCCTCCCCCCAGATCTGCGCAGGCCTCTCCCAGGTGCAGGAGAGGCACTGGAAGCATCCGGCCACGCTGCAGGGGAGGCTGGGGGAAGTTTTTAAAGCCCTCCCCGCCCCCCCGAGGGCCAGATGAAATTGTTTGGTGGGCCGGATGCAGCCCGCAGTCCAGAGGTTCCCCCCCTTCACTTGTAGGCTCACAGAGAATGCAGAAAAGACAAAGCCTCCTGATCAACCGGAGCCTCGCACAACTAGTCAGGTGCCCTTGCGAAGGGCTGGACAGTCTCTGCTCCCACTGCGGGCAGCCACGAACATCATCAGTGCCTGCAGCCGAGCGCGCGCCTCGACGCATCAGCTCCCCCCTGACATGCCCCTCCTCATCGCGGATGCTTCTGACGTGAGTTCCAAGTTTTCCTGCCCTCTCCCCTGGCAGGGGCTGGGCTGGCGTCACTCACAGCAGCCTGGGGTGGGGTTAATGACATCATGCCTCTCGCTTTCCCAACCCTCCCCCAATCAGAAACTTAGCCCCAGCTTTCATTTTTAAACCCGAACGGTCCAGTGTCAAAGGACAGCTCCACCCCCCTCCCCTTTTTTTAAAAAAAAATTTCCGGTTCCTTTGGCCTCGCCCTTCGAGCCTCCGGACCAGTGTGGGCCGCCTGACATGGCGAAGTGCACATGCCGTGAAGATAGAGAAAGAGAGTTGTAGGGGAAAGGGGGGGAGGAAGGAGGTGAGTGCCCCCCCGGGGACGGGGTTGGGTATATATAAGTAGGAGGGGTTTTGTGCAGTTGCCACAGGCTGCGCTGGGTGTCTCGCACACAGATTCAGCGGGGCAGACGAGAAGAGCAGGGATTGCCCTTTTCAGGCGACCATTTTGAAGACTCTTCTCTGAAGTACACATCCGACTGCCTCATGGCACACCGGTGTGCTGCGGAACACAGTTTCAGAAACACTGATCTAGATCCTTGCAGAGACCTTATGGAAGTTTGGGCAAGGTAGGACCATGCTATGGAGGTAGCTTTCCGCCCCCATCAGATCTGTGTGTGCATGTTTCTCTTTGTTTGCAGAAGCATAGTAGAGTATATCAGGCTGCAAAGACTTCAGCATTTGGCCGCCCGAGTCTGAAGTTGAATCCCATGTTTGGCCACCAGTGGCTGACTCAATATTAATAAATAAACATCAATCTACTTTGAAGCACTCAACCAACATACCCAAGATAACACATCTATCCTCGGTGTAGCTGCTCCTAATCCAGAGGACTTACAGCTGGGAGGAATTTGGCTGTAGGTGCTTGGGAGGCTGTGAAGTATGTTGGCACACGTTGAAAGGAGACACAGTTGGAAATTACACCAATTACAAGATGATGACCAAAGTAAGGGAAAAAAAGGGGTGGAGGAGCACAGGCTTGTGCCTCTAACCGCAATGCCACTTGAACAGTTGAGTAAAACTGGGAACGAACAATGAAAAAACAAGGATTTGTATTTTAATTCTGGCAGAACAGAACATTTTCCCATGCTGGAGCAAAACATTTCCCTGCTGTTTGAAATCAGCCCAACAGCAACATGTGCTGTTGTGTTGGGTAATGGTGCCACCAGCTGATCAGTCTGGAGAATGCCAGTTGGAAAATAAGGTAACATACAAAGCCTGGTCATCTGAAAAAGTGGGTTGTGCCCATGAAAGCTCATGATACCATCGACATGTTTTGTTAGTCTTTAAAGTGCTACCAGACTTTTTGTTTTTTTTTAAGTTTTTCCAGTTACAGACTAACTTGGCTACCCCTCTGAAGCTTTTGTACATTTAAATGGCACTTTTATCTTCAAGAGCATTACAAACTAATGCCCTGAGCTTGCAAACCACATCAAAAACGGCTGTTCGCTAAGAGTTTGCAGGTTTGGTTTCTAAAGGCCTGATCCTGAAGATGTTGAGCTCCTGAAACTTCCATTGATTTTCATAGGAAATGTCCATGATCAGAACCTACGGGGATCTGGCAATACTCTAGAGAGAGAGAGAGAGAGAGAGAGAGAGTGCGCACACGTGTAAAATCTTACTAAGACTGCTTGTGAAGGGGAAAAGGGAAGGGGTCAGAATCAGGCTCAGTAACATTACTGAGTATCCCCATTATTGGTGCTATTACGGATGGCATTACAACTTCAGCAGAGCATATTGAATAGGTAGTAACATATTTAAAATATGCTTTCCTGTGGCTGCAGTGCACTTTCTGTTACAGGCATAACAGATTGGCAGTGATACCTGTTTGCTGTTCATCACTCTCTGACTGAATCATTTGTTAGGCACAGCTACAGCTGTATGCCCAGCAAGTGTTACGTGGTGCCAAAAATATTATAGTCACAAACGTTATAGTTTCTGTGCCATGCAGAGTCAAGCCAATAATAAAATAACATTTTGCATTACAACTTTTTTTAATTGGATCAGAGGAAGAAAGGTAACTCTTATAACGACCACCTCAGATTTTGTCAGACTTATGTATACTGGTGATATTGGTTAGATGGATACCTCTTGGTTGTAAACATGTGACTATGCAACAAATCTTAATTTTGAATGTTCTCTTTGAAGGGTGATAGAGATGCAGCCGTGTTAGTCTGGTCTAGCTGAAACAAAAGGAACACTATTAAAATGGGTCTCCAGCAACCCAAGAACCAAATGTTCATCTGAATGGTCAGAAGATGAAGCACGAAGTAGAACCTGTCCATCTAGGTAGAACCTTAGACTGCGCACTGAGTTACCACACCCATGTGAGGAAGATATCAGCTAAAGTTAAGATGAGCAACAATCTTCTTAGAAAACTGGCAGGTTCCCTATGGAGTGCTTGTGCCCCAATCCTGCTCTTGCCACCTTGTATTCGGAGTCAGCATACCGCACACCAATATGGAATCAATTTTCACTTACCAAAATGATGAATTCGCAGTTGCATGCCACCGTGTGCATCATCTCCAGCACTCTGCATCAAACTCCCCTCCCACGGTTTCCAGTTCTGAGTAATGCTGCTGCTCCTCCTATCAGACGAGAGGTTGCCACTGCCCAATTTTTTAAAACCACCAGCTGCTCATTGGCTATCACGTTGCTCATTATGATCTCCTCCACCATGTGGAAATGCTCTGACGAGAGCAATGGATATCGGTTATAATCCCCAACAAGTCCTTCATTGCTAGCCCCACAATCTGCCCCATTTCAGTGGTCTCTGTTGAACAGGTTCTGGACTGGGCTAGGTACCTGTGCAGCCAACCAGTATTGCTGGGGCCTTCGTGACAGCCCTTTGTGCAGCTGCTGTTTACCACAAGCAATGAAGCATATTGTCGATAAATGCCTGCTGGCTAGGTTCAGCGGTGGTCCAGAAGAACTGCATCGCACCAGTGAAGATGCCATCACTTGGCTAGATGACTATGCACATGCTAAAGAGGTTTCTTGGAAGTTTAGGCTGTTTACATTAAGCCTGTCTTATGTTGAGATTTTGCTGCAAACACCTCCCTTACCGAAGAGGGAAGTTTCATCATCAGACCTTGTCTCCTATTCAGTGTTGTAAACTAGAGATAAGGATCTGAAGCAAACGTAAAATAGAACTTTACAGAAAACCCCGAAAATAATTAAAGATGGTGTCTAAAAATAAGGGCTTACAATTGGTCTTTAGTGAAGGTTTAATTTTCCATCTTAAAAAACAGAGGATGGCTCAAACAAACACCCCAGACACATGGACCTTTTGAATTTGAAGACAGTTTAATGGAATTCAGTTCCAGAATTAATACAAAAACCATTCTGAACTATGGAGGTATAGAAACCTGAAGGGCAACAGTGACTTTGGATCTGCTTCAGAGACGCTACATAAATACAGCCTGTCTGTAGATGTGATGTTGAAGAGACTGTGGGCTTTTAAAGATCAATACACTTCTGAGTTAAATCATTGGACCTTCCTGGGTTTGAGCTTGTGCCCGAAGCTGTAGATGGCTGTGAAGAGGAAGAAGCTTTATTCCTAGGAAAGTAGTATCTAAAGAGAAGAGTCAAGGAAATACTCTAAAATTTTAAACCAAATGTCTACTAATGGCATCAACTTCAAAAAGAAAGGAGGCAGAATACTCACTATACACCTTTGCCTTTTTTTTTTAATCTAACAGAACTGCTGATCATGGCATTGTACAGCAACTGTATTTTCCCCAAGAAGAGACAAAAACAGAGTTTTGACACTTCTTACTCCTGCCAGCCCTTCAGAAGTTACTCACCTATGAAAGACTCAGCTGAATTCTATTGTGCTTTTGCACACCGAGACAGAGAGAAACTGAACAGCATACAAAATGAAAAACAAATTGGATTTGTAGGATTCTCTTCCACAGTTTCAATAATCAAAAGTTGTTAGTATCAAGGCAGATAAGGTTTAAAATACATAAGAACGGCCATACTGGGTCAGACCAAAGGTCCATCTCACACAGTATTCTGACTTCCTACAGTGGACAATGCCAGATGCTCCAGAGGGATTGAACAGAACAGGAAATCATCAAGTGATTGTTCTCCTATCATCCGTTTCCAGCCCAACAGAGGCCAGGGACACCATTCCTATCCATTCTGGCTAATAAGTATTGATGAACCTAACCAGTTAAAGTCCTGGTCTTTACAACATCCTCTGGCACGGAGTTCCACAGCTTAACTATGCGCTGTATGAAGAAAAACTTCCTTTTGTTTGTTTTAAACCTGCTACCTATTAATTTCATTTGATAACCCCTAGTTCTTATGTTATGGGAGCAAGTAAATAACTTTTCCTTATTCACTTTCTCTATACCTGTCATGTTTTTATAGACCCCTATCATATCCTCCCTTAGTCTCTCCTTTTCTAAGCTGAAAAATCCCAGTCTTTTTAATCTCTCTTCAGATGGAACTCGTTCCAAACCCCTAATCATTATTGCTGCTCTTTTCTGAACTTTTTCCAATACTGATATATCTTTTTTGAGATGAGGCAACCACAGTTGTACATGCAGTATTCAAGATGTGGGAGTACCACGGATTTATACAGAGATAATAAGATGTTCTCTGTCTTATTCGCTATAGGGCATCCCTGCTATACATCCAAGATAAGTCCCAAAAAACGTGGATGCATAGGAAAATGATGTAAAATGGGGATTTTTTTTCTTGTAGCTGACTTCCATTTGCTCAAAATTTTTTTTGGTTGGGTTTGGTTTTTTGGGGGCAGGCAATGGGAAGACTTATAATGCATGTTTCTACAAGTGTCAAGACGTTAATGAGGAACCGAGGTATACCAGTTCGCCCTGTATCCCTTTTTTAAGGATTCTTACCATTCTGCTTGCTTTTTTGACTGTCACTGCACACTGAGTGGATGTTTTCAGAGAACTATTCACAACGATTCCAAGATCTCTCTCGAGTGGTTAGAGCTAAATTAGTCCCCATCATTTTGTATGTGTAGTTGGGATTATTTTTTCCCATGTTGCATTACTTTCCATTTATCAACACTAAAATTCATTTGCCATTTTTTTGCCTAATCACCTAGATCTTTTCAGCTGTCCAGTATTTTATAAAGTGAATTATCCTAGAGTTGGTGGTCCTTCCCCCCCAACGGTCCCCCAAAGACAATCCTTTAGTTTATGTGGACTGACTTGCTGATCTTTCTGTCTTGCCTGATCTGTGATGGTATGTCACACCACTGCATGCACTGGTGAGCTGGTTTAGTGCAATGAAGTGTGGTAAGCAAAGTTACATGACCACAAAATCCATAAAGTGACTTTTTACACATAAGCTGCTCACTTCCTATGAATTTGCTATGCTATTTTGTTACATAAATGTATTCTCACCCACACCCACACACCAGTGTGATGGTGTGTTCGCGCCACACCACACCAAGGGTATGTCTACACTACCCTCCTAGTTCGAACTAGGGTGGTAGTGTAGGCATACTGCACTTGCAAATGAAGCCCGGGATTTGAATTTCCCGGGCTTCATTTGCATAAGCCGGCCGGCGCCATTTTTAAATGCCGGCTTGTTCGAACCCCGTGCCGCGCGGCTACACGCGGCACGGGCTAGATAGTTCGGAATGGCTTGCTAGTTCGACCTATCTAGCCCGTGCCGCGTGTAGCCGCGCGGCACGGGGTTCGAACAAGCCGGCATTTAAAAATGGCGCCGGCCGGCTTATGCAAATGAAGCCCGGGATTTGAATTTCCCGGGCTTCATTTGCAAGTGCAGTATGTCTACACTACCACCCTCGTTCGAACTAGGAGGGTAGTGTAGACATACCCCAAGAGAGTGAAGGTGTCTCAGAAAAGGGTAATTAACTTGGGAGGCTGACGAGCGCTCCCTAAAGATGAAGCCCATCTGGGCAGGAGTAGGCAGCAGCTTTTACTCAGCCAAGAAATGGGAGCGGAAGGGGGCTGCAGTGTGGAGGTTCTGGAATCACTTTCCGGGCCTAGCAGGAAAGGAGGAAAAGTGGGGAGCAAAAGGCCTGGAATCCGGACTCTGAGGGCATGGGTTCACGCAGGGGGTGGTGAAGAAGGAAGACAGCAGAGGAGGGAGAAGCCAAGGGAAATGACAACAAGGTTTGACATGTTACAGACTTGGCTGCTGATTGCAGGGTCCCATAGCCAGAATCCAGAGCAGCGGGTGGGTTTGGGTTTCCTTCCCAGCCACTGGGAAAGTGGCACATTTTTAGTAACAAGAGGAATCCCCTAAGAAAACTGCCTGGAATGGCACCTGGACACCTGGTCCAGGGAGACTTGTTACCCTGGAAGGGGACAGGCTGGAGGGATAAGCCACAAAGACGAAGCTCTTCAACTCGTAGAGAGCAGGAGAGGCCATGACACAAGCCACTGAAGGAAGGGGGGCTTTAGAGTGGGCAGAAGTGGTCCCCAGATGCAGCCACAAAGTGCTGTCCCAGTGCTGAGTAAATCCCATCCCTTTCTCTTACACACACTGGGATTCCGCTCACTGGGCCTGTGTCTGGGTCAGTTTTGTAAGTTGCTTTTATAACATAATTTTCAGCACTACAAATGTGGGACATTATAAAAGAAACCCAAATGACTGTCAACGGAGTACTGGTACACACGCACGCACGTGCACACACATACACGCAGAGCATCATACACAATCTTCTCCTCCTCCAGAAGACTTCGTATCCTGTACTGTGTACCTGGTTGAAAGCGAGAGATCAGTTCAACATAGTTTTGAGTTGGAGTGTTCTAGTAAGATGTCTGTTGCTGGAAAAGGATTCATCAAGATCATACAGTGAACATTCTGATATTTGCAGAGAAAAGTCGTTTAATTTTGAACAAAATAAAACAACTGTGCTTCAAAGGATACATAAATGTGGGGATTCCCCTTGTGGCTAAATATTTTCGGATGAGCCGCTCAGTACCATACCAGTTAAAACCTTTTGTTGCATGTCCGATTCGTGGAAGATGGATGCTTGCTGCAAAAGAGAACAGAAAAGCTCTTCAGGTTGTAAGGCATTTTAAAAAAATAAACGGATGTGCCATTCAAGCTACACTCAAAGGCAAAAGAATATTCTACTTGTAGTGGGTAAACCTGTCTCCCGTTTCATTTCAGAAGACCATCACAGAAGAGATGGAAGAGACCCATTAGAATTAGAAACAAAAAACAGGACTGTGTAACACTTTAAAGACTAACAAGATGGTTTAATAGGTGATGAGCTTTCAATTAGGTCTTCCCAATCCATGACCCAGCCGGAATCTTTAAGTGGAATTACATGCGCAGCTCTGGGCTGTGTCGTTCTTTCAAAGGCACACAGACAGACACATGCACACTTACCATTCCTCTTCTTGGCTGCTAAATAAATCTTCTTTAAGCCCTCTTCCAAAGCAGACAGCTTAATGCCAGACAGGATGTTGGACCGATCCCGGTGCTGTGCCACAATCAGGGCCAACTAGAAAGAAAAACATGCCATTTATGTGTACGGCAGTAATGATTGCTAGAAAATAGCATTAAACAAACCCTTTATAGGCTGAAAAAAAAAAAGCATTCCCTTTTCTTGTCTTTGTGAACACTTATTTCAAGCCAGTCCTATGTTGCATTAGGGTCCCTGCTATTTAGTGTAAGATGTAATATACACTTTGTGTTGTTTCAAAAATACTTTAGCAGAGAGAACATCAAAGGGGCTTTTATAGTTACCAAATCCTGGCCTTTATTTCTGGATTCTTTATCGTCAATGGGGAATAAGAGGGTTCTTCCCAGTGCCAAGTCTGTCCGAAAACCAAAAACATAAGAAAACATTCAATGCCACAAAGAACAAAGGCGAGTCAATGCAATGCTGATTCTTACAGGCTTCTGCACCATCCTTCCTAGTTCTCCAGGACACTGTGCACCACACATACATTTTCTTTGGGGGAGGGGTGTGTGAGACGATGGAAAAAGAAAAAGATAATAAAACATGAGGGGAGAGAGAGACAGAGAAAAAAATGTCCAGGCTACAGTAAGATCTAATCTGTAAGATCACTAGTGTGTATGTGTATGTAGGAGAACAAGAGGTACTGGAAAGAGCAGATGGCCTGGTTAGACACATACAGAAGTTGCTCTAAACCACCTCCTCCTCATAAAATCATTGTAACATTTGAACTGCAGGTTTAGCACACTGCCTTGCGCAGAGAAGAAATGCTGCGACTAAAGAACAAGATCTTTTTCCCCAGGAAAAGATCAAAACGACTGAGTCCTATTGAAAATCTTCTCACTCCAGATCAGAGGTCAGGGTCAAAATGTCTCCTTGCGCTGTCACTGCCAACACCACACATAGGAAGTACCAGACTAAAAGGAGATACTATGAGCATCACACACTGAAGTTATATTTTTCAATTTTACCTTTCATTCTCCCTGCCAGCTCATATATTTTCCTGGGCTGATCGGAACGAACCTCCAGAGCTGTAAACAAACCTCCCCGTCCCCAGCGGCCGGAATCATCTAAAGCAAAGTTACAAGTTAGGTTATTTTGCAAAATCGAGAACCGTGTCCAAAGAGATGAGCTTCCAGGTGTATCTGTGCTAGCCATGCCTTCTGCAGGGACCAGAGACATTCTCATGACATATCACAGGGCTTACTAAAAACAGACATGGAAGATGAGATGAAACAAAAAGTCCCTGGATGCCCAGCTCCCTCATTCAGTCCAGGGAACAGATCACATAATCCCTGCTCTGCATTCCAGAGAAATAAACCTCACCCACAATCCCTGCCAAGCCATCCCAAAGGAAAATCCATCCCGGGTTGTCCGGTAGCTTTTCAGAGCATGGAGGAGAATCAGAAAAACAACTGTGCTCAGAGGAAGAGATTAGTTCAGAGGAACTGGCTGCAAACCACACAGGCAGGGGAATCCTTGTTCTACCTCCCACTGTCCCCTGCAGCACGGTGCCACGTTGGAGACATTGCCTCAACTGTTCAGACCCTGGGGGCAAGGCACTGGCAGATCATGAGAGCTGGAGCCCTGTACACGTTAATTCTTTCATGCCCATCCTTTGCCACAGGCATAAAGCATAGTAGAGAGGAGGGCCAGGCTGTTCTTCTGGGATCATCGCCTATTTATGTTTTCACTTCCCAGAGTGCCTCAGCTCTTTCTCCTTCTGCACAAAGCAATGCCGAAGCATTGCGATTTCCCCATGTTCCCCAGCTGCTAAGACCCTGAATGCCCAGATGCTGAGTTCAACTAACACACTCCCAGCATTCCTCCACTCTGCTGATGCCCTTGCCCAGCTAGACTCAGATGCCCCCCTTTTGCTAGCTACGGTGCAACCTGGATGCTCCTTTCTGCTGCTGGAAGGGGGCCTGCCCCACCACTGCTGGTCCATCAGGGTGGGATTACACACAACTTCCTCTATGGGCAGTGGACCTTGGTGGAAACACACATTTATGGAGGGGGCTAGGTGTGTGTGTGTGGGGGGGTATCTTTGCAGATTTCCTTTCCTCCACAAAGGGTCACCTTTCGATAAAGTTATATTTCCAGCCCATCCCAATGGGAAGTAAATCTTCTGAATGGGACTCAAGGCTGAGCAGCCTCACTGAGGCAGCCAGCATGCAGGGCCACAAGCGACCCACGTACAGAGCCACCAGGAGGGAGCTCGTGCTTCACCTTCTGAGGAGAGGTGCTGCATGCTAGGAAGTGTGCCAACCCGCTCCCTTGACTTGCAGCATACTAACCACTCCGGCCCCATGCAGGCTGTAACCACCACTGGGCGGATTTGAACCTGGGACCTCAGTGTAGGAGCAGCTCCCTTGTTCTTATCTCTGGCTGTAAGCGATGTGAGTGCCGCTCCACGGGACAGTGAGCTGCACTAGGAGTGTGGGTTACACTGTCACTACGGCTCAGCCATCTGGCTGCCAGGCATGAGTCCGCCCTGTCCCCATCAAGGCTCTTTGCTCTGGCCAGTCCTACCTATGCAGTGGACAAGGATTGCATCCTCCTCTTCCGCTCTGGGGTGGGTAACATCCCCCATCACATACTGGATGGAGTTCAGCTCGGTGTCTGTGTCATCTACCGCCACATCCAGCCCGTCCTCCCCCTCCTCAAAGGCGTCCTCTGAGTCGCTCTCTTCCGAGGGCAGGCAGGGGGATCTGTAGTGATTTGCCTCCCACCAGGCCATCCTGAAACGAACAAGGCAAAAGGAGAACAGGCCAAATGAAAACAGGAGGGCCAAAGTCTGCCGCTTTAAACCATCACCACGAATGGCTGGAGATGGGTTCTTGAGACACAAAGCTCAGATCCCGAGCCACAATCTTCCCCCATGTCCAGAAACCAAATGGTCACAGGGCGGCTGGTGCCTGGGGCTGAAGCAGGTCAAGCCTCCCTATGCCAAAGCAGGTGCTCCCAGCTGATCAAGGAAGAGTCTCTGGCTGTACCTGCCTTCGGAACCGAAGATTGAGTGTTTGAGCCCCGCCCTCAACCAACCTGGCACCCTTGGGACATAGGACGGATAAGGAGTTCCCCAAAGGTAGGGAAGTTGGGGGGCTCCTCCAGTGGTGCAGTAGATAAGGTAGACAAGGAAGGGTGAGTGGAAGTACTAGTGAGAGACAACTGGCTGAGACAGGGCTAGGAAGCAGCAGCAGCAGGGCAGCCACAGTCCCCTGGGCAGCGAGAAGACGCCTGAGGTGGAAAGAGGAGCCGTTTTTGTTTATGTGTGGCCAAGAAACCTGCCTCAGAGCGACTGTGGGTCTGGCAGCGGGTGCTGGAGAGGCTGGGGTGAAGCGGTGATGTATACAGGCACTTTGGACAGAGGAGAGTAAGGAATATCAGTGGTGCAAAAGGAAAGGGGAGAGGGCAATCGGAAGCCCCTATCATTGATTGGCCCTGACTACAAGGGGTGACCCAGGATTCATGGAGTCAGATTATGCGGACGCCCTGCTTTGCTTAAGGAAGGGCTGCTCTCCTGCACCGGGGCCTGGAGGATGCCAGCAATGGCGGGATTCCCCATTCCCATTGGCAGCCAGATGACAGAAGCAGCAGGAGGTGCAACTGGAGCTTCAGAAGTGACTACCATGCCTGAGGAGCGGCAGCAGCAACCCCTCCCTGGAGATCCCGCAGCAAGAAGGGACTGGTAGGCCCAGGTACAAAGTAGGAAAGAGGGGTTTGAGGACTGTGAAGGCCAACCAAGGGAACGTTCTGCTTAGGGATAAGTGGGGCATGTAAGCAGTAACTGTCCTTCTGTGAACTGGGCTTTTAAGACTGTGCTCTGCACAGCAGAGTCAGAACGAGCCAGGGCGTCTCTGGATGGAATCCTGCCTTGTTACTGCAAGCTCCGAAAGGGACCAGGAGAGGCAGCTTCCTGGAGTTTGCATGTTGTTGTGGGGGGGCTGAGGCACAGAGAAGTTCCTGCCCCTGCCCCACTAAGAACAGACACTGTGGGAAAGCTGGATGCCAAAGCCTTGCGTGCCCCAGGTGACAGTGTGAATTCTGGAAGGTTTGGACCAGGAGGGATAGAAGGCAGTGTGAATGAGTCAGGTGTGGGGAAACAGGACACGTCAGGCACCCACTGGGAAGCGTGTCCTTGGGAAGAATGCATAAACAACGAGAAGTCCTGTGGCACCTTATAGACTCACAGATTTATTGGAGCATAAGCTTTCGTGGGTGAAGACCCACTTGGTCAGATGCATAGAGTGGAAATTCCAGAGGCGGGTATAAATACACAGGCACGTGAAAAGAAAGGAGAACCGATCAAGAGGAAGGCCAGAGATAATGAGGTCAATTTAGTCAGGGAAGATGTGGCCCATTTCTAGCAGCTGATGTGGAGGTGTAAACACCAAGGCTACGTCTACACTGCATCCCTCTTGCGCAAAAGCCTATGCAAATGAAGCGCAGATTAGCAAATTGCCATGCTTCATTTGCATAATTAATGAGGCTCTGTTTTTGCGGAAGAGGCTTTTGTGCAAAAAGGTGCCGTCTACACAGCTCCAACCCCCTCTTGTGCAAGAGCCGTTCTTCCTCATTTTTCCAGGAAGAACGGCTCTTACACAAAAGGGGGTTTTTGCGCAAAAAGGAGCTGTGTAGATGGCTTCTTTTTGTGCAAAATCCTCTTGTGCAAAAACTGCCCCAATTAATTATGCAAATGTGTGTCAATATGCTAATCTGCACTTCATTTGTATAAGCTTTTGCACAAGAGGGATGAAGTGTAGATGTAGCCCAAGAGAGGAGAAACTGCTTTTGTAGTTGGCTAGCCACTGGTACACCTTTCTCTTCATGTGCCTGTATATTTATACCCGCCTCTGGAATTTCCACTCCATGCATCTGACGAAGTGGGTCTTTGCCCATGAAAGCTTATGCTTCAATAAATCTGTTAGTCTATAAGGTGCCATAGGACTTCTCGTTGTTTATGCAGATTCAGACTAACACACCTACCCATTTGATACTTTAAAAGAACGGTGTCTGAGATGAGGAAAGCTCACAATGTAAGGGACACAAATCCCTAACTGAGGGGCCAAGGCAGAGCAGGGCACCGGGGAGCAGAAATTCATGGCAGAGACAAAACATCAGGAGCCCAGACAAAGGAAAAGTCAGAGAAGGGCATAGGCATGGAGACCATGCACAAAATGGATTCACCACTGATAGCCACTAAAGGCACAGTTACAGCACGGAGAGGAGAGGGCATGAGAGACCTGCTCTCCTTGGCAGAAAAGCCTGAGAGCAAGCCCAGAGAAGTTACTGAAAGACCAACAAGGGTTGGCATGCCAGACATCTCCTGGGACAGGAGCCAGTGGGACTTGAAAGATAAATCCACGGCATACAAAAGGAATGGCAAGGGAGAGCTGAGTTACTCTTCACTCCACCAAAGGGAGAGCTTGTGCCACGACAGCCTAAAAAACCAACAGGCAAAGGTTGGAGAAATGAGACGAGGCTCTTGACTGGATGCCCGGTGAAGAAGTCAATTGTAGGGCTGGGGTTCACGACTCTGGGCACGTGGGGAATACGGATATGTCTGAATCTGCATGGCAATTTTTATATTTTGTTTTAGGGGTGAGAGCCGTCCAGCTGGGGCTTCACAGGTGGGAAAGGGGGGATCATGCTGGTGAAAGAAGCAAAACACAGGAGGCTGATCCTTCTGACTGAAATAGGTCCAGTCCCCCTTTGCTAGAGCAGGTGCTCCCAGCTGGGCCAATGAAGGGTGTGTGGCTGCCCTTGGAGCTACACGGGGTCAAGAGCATTTAAGTGAGGAGGGCTAAGCAGCTGCTAGAAGCAGCAGGACTGCCCAAATCCCCGGGAAGGGAGGCAGTGAGTAGCCTGAGATGTAAAGGATGGTAGGAAGAACTGGTTTGTACATGTCTGGACAACAAAGCTGCCTCAGAGAAACTATAGGTGTCGCACTGGTGCCTTTAGAAGCCTTGTCTCGAATACTGTTGTGATGGGTGGTTTTGTAGTGTTAAGAAGGGAGAAAGGAGCTTTGTGATAATCATTTATAGAAAAGTGAGACTGAGTGCTAAGAAGGGGGAGGAGTCGTCCAGGGTGGCACACGTAGAATTAATGAGAAAGTCAGATAAAGATTCAAACCACAAAGTACAAATTCAAATTTCACGGAGAAAAGATACAGAGAAAAAAAGGCCAAGTGTGACTGATATCCGGAGCTGAATGTGAACCTGCTCTGACTTTGGGCAGCTCACAGTGGGGTTTTCGTATACAGAAACATAGGGCTGGAGGGACTTTGTGAGGTCGTCTAGTCCAGCTCTCTACATTCAACCAGGACCAATTAAACATAGACCATCCCGGACAAGTCTCTGTCCAAAATATTCTTTAAAAAAAATGAGGAAGTGAGCTTAACCAGCCTTAGAAAAAGTTTCCTAATGCTAACCTAAATCTCCTTTTTTATAGAGTAAGCCCAGTGCTTCGTGTCCTAGCTCCACTGGACATGGAGAACAGCTGACCACTGTGATCTTAATAAAAGCCCTGAACATATATGTGAAGATTTCACAGGTGCCTCCTCTGTCTTCTCTTCCCAAGACTAAACATACACCAGTTTCCCCTCATAGATCAGATTTTTCTTAACATTTTGCTATTTTTATTACTCCTCCAGACTCTTTCCAATTGGCACACATCTTCCCCAAAGCGTGGTGCCCAAAACTGAGCAGAGTGCACTAGCTGAGGCTTCACCTCTGCTGAGTAAAGCGGTACCAGTATCTCCTGTGTCTGATATACGCCACGGTTGCTAATACACCCCAAAGGCAAGGCATACCTTTCTTGTAACTGCATATGAATTGACTCTTATTCAATTTGTGATCCACTAAATCCCCCAGAGGCTTTTCAGCAGTACTACCTCCTTGCCAGTTATTCTCCATTTTGTAGTTGTTCATTTGGGGTTTTTTTCTTTCTAAGTGTGGAACTTTACACTTGTCGCTTTTGAATTTTATCATGTTTGTTTCAAACCAGTTCTTCAATTTGTCAAGGTCATTTTGAATTCCAATCTTGTCCTCCAAAGTGCCAGCCACCCCTGTCAGTTTGGGATCATCTAAAAATGTTATAGGCCTACTCTCCACTGCAAGGGATTAATGAAAATAGTACTGGACTCAAAACAAGCTCCTGCAGGACCCAACTAGATCTGCCCTCTCATAGATAACTACTCTTTGAGTGTGGTCTTTCAATCACTCCTGAATGCACCAGATAGTAATTTCATCTAAACAACAACAGTTCCCTAGTTTGCTTAAGAGAATTCCATGTGAGACTGTATCAAACACCTTACAATAATTTAGACATATAACATTTACAGATTCCCATCACCTACTAGACCAATATCCCTCTCAAAAAAGGAAATAAGGTTGGTTTGAAAGAATTTGTTCTGGACAAATCCATGCTGGTTATTCCTTAACACCCTATTATTTTCTAAGAGCTTACAACTGATTTGTTTAATAATTTAATTTGATATCCTTCCAGGTATTGAAGTTTGACTGAGCTATAATTCCCCAAGACCCGTCTGTTCCCCAAATAAAGATAGATACTATGTTTGCCCATCTCTACTCTTCTGGATCCACTCAGCACCCATGACATATCAAAGATAGTCGCTAAACATTCCAATATTACTTCAGCTAGTTCCTTAAGTACCCTAAGATCAAATTCATCAGGTACTACCAATTTGATTACTTCTAACATATGTAAATATTCTTTAGCTTATTCCTTCCCCTATTTTGGCTTGCATTCTTTCTCCCTTGTTAATTTTAATGGCCTTAAGTATCTGGGCACAATTTACATTTTGAGTGCAGACTGAAGCAAAATAGGCATTCAACATCTCAACCTTCTTGATATCATCAGTCATTAGCTCTCTTTCCCCACCCAGCAGAAGACCTTCACTTTCCTTCATCTTTCTCTGCATCCCAATGTAGTTCGAGAACCTCTTATCACTGCCTTTTATGATGCTTGCTAATTAGAACTCATTTTGTACTTAGGACCTTTCTGATTTTGTTCCTGTATGCATGTGGTATTCTTTTTTTACTTGACCTTAGCATCTATCTATGTTTCCAATTCATGTAGGATTCAGGCCCATAGCTATGAAAGTGAGCCAAAAAATGGATGCTGCCATTGGGTTAAAAGTTGTTTCTGCATCAACAGTTCTACATCCTACAATTTAAGCACACACTTGAGAAAATAACGCTCAACGGTGACCTCTTCCTCCACCTCTTCCCATGTTCCAAATACCCTGCTATGGCAAGACTGACCAGAATTTGCAGCTTCCTGACTTGTTTTTATCAGTCTGACATAGCCAGTTTCCCTGCTAACCATAACAGACCCCACACTGCTTCGCAGCAGGCAAAGCACAAGCCTACTTTTTCTTGTGTTCGGCTTCTACTTTCTTCTGTTTCTTTTCTTCCAAGAGCCGTGCTCTCTTTGCTGCTGCCTCCTGTCGTTTCCTCCTCCGGGCCTCCAGCTCTTCTGGGCTCAGCACATGTTTCCTCTTGGCAGACACCTCCTGAAGACCTGTGACAAGGACCTGGAAAGGAGAAGAGAACTGCACATAAACAGACATTTCTATCAGAATCCATCTTATCCAATGTCCCATACCCGTTTCCCTCCAGGCTTTTAGTCTGCACTGTCTCAGACTCCCCAGCTCAAGCAGTTCACGAAACCATGAGCTAACAACAGTGACTTTTGCTGCTGTGACCTGCATTTGAACCTCTCAGATGCTAGTCTCTGATCCATTCCAAACTTCCCTGCATCATCCAGCCCTCACAGTCTGCTGTTAATCTCAACTCATCAGTAATTGAATCTAAATATTTCCTCCTTTGCAATTTCAATGATCATTGACTACATCATATTCGTCAGGTCTTTCCTCTTACAGTTGCTTTATTTCGGAGGGCTCTTCCTCCTTTGTTGGTCTCTTCAAGGACTTTCTGAAGATCCATCAACTGATCAAATGCTCTTCTGTCTTCTCTGCTGGGTTCTTTCGAATAATCTCTGCCTTCATATAGGTACATATGATCTTTAAAAAAAATTAGAACATATAAAGGCCTCCCAATGGGCCAGGAGCATCTGCTAAAATTACAGTAAGTAATCTACTATATATATTCAGGGAGTTTGTCTGTTTGTGTGGTTATCTTGTTGTTCAAGTCTCCTAAATGGTAAGAGCTAAGACCACCACTAACAAAGCAATGTAAGGGTTTGGTTGTTCCAGGAAAATAGGATGCATCTGGAATGGGATCGCTTCTCATAAAACCAAACAGAAAAGAACGAAAGAGACAGAAGCACCAGGAAGCTGAAAGTGGCTGGCAGGAGGCATGCTGTCTGGAACTGCCCCATCGCTGAGTCTCTCCCCCTCCAGGGCTATGTCTACACTGATGGGTTATTGCGCAAGAACAACTGTTCTTCCGCAGAGCGTCCACACTGCCCACCTGTTCTTGCACAAGAAGATTTACAGTACGGCGGGGTAAGAGAGGGCTTCGTGCGCAAGAGCTATGCTCTTTTCAAACAGGTGTAAGCCCTCTTGCGCAAGAACTCTTGCGGAAGAGGGCATGTGGACGCTGGGCAGGGGTTTCTTGCGCAAAAAAGCCCTATGGCTAAAATGGCCATCAGAGCTTTCTTGCACAAGAGAGCGTCCATACTGCCATGGATACTCTTACGCAAAAGCACATCTCGCACATGGCAGTATGGACATGTTCTTGCACAAGAACCCTTGCGCAAGATGTTCTTGCGCAAAAACCCACCAGTTTAGACATAGCCCAGGTGTCTTGTATGAAGCCCGTTATTGGCTGTTCCCCTTCGTCAATGTGAGGGAGCAAGAGGAAAGTGCACAGTTTACTGCGTTCCTCACTATGGTGCATGGGCCAGACGAGCTGTACACTTTACTCTTGCTCCCTGACAGGATGAGGAAGAGCAAGTAGTCCTGGTACAAATCTGGGGAGATGGGCTTTGATCCTCCAACACACACACACAAACCCCCATCCCTCCTCACCCCCCAAACCCTGACTCCTGCACCCCTTACACCTCTTAACCCTGACTCCTGTACCACCCACACTTCCTACCCCCTCCCTTCCTCAGCACAACCCTGACTCCTGCAACTCCTCACATCACCAAGCCACTGCCATGACTCCTGCACCTCCCCACCCCCTGCCTTGAACCCATCTCACTCCACCTACACTTACATTTCTTATGGGTACTGTTTGTATCACCACCCACCACCACCTCCTGCCCTAAGGGGTCCTCGCAGTTGGGTTGTGATACAACAGTACTTGTAAGAAATGTAAGTTACTTTCACCCTGGACTGAACCAAGATGAGCCAGAAAAATAGGATGAACCTGGAATAAGACTGCATCTCAATAAACTTCACAGAAAAGAGATAAACCGGAGAAATGTGGAGTAAAGCTCTGGTTTGGCACAGCTAAATCAATGCTTAAGGTTTGAAAATTAGAAGAAAGGGTTATTGCAAACTACACTGACTATAGACCTTTTTTGTTACAACATAGCAAATGATCAGAGTTTATAGGGATGAAGAAAAAATACACATGATGGAACTCCCATTTTTAAAAAAAAACTAAAAAATGTGTTTTTAAGAAATCCAAAATAAAAATTTACTTCATCAAAATAACATTATGTTGAAAAAATACAATTATTTAAATAAAGCATGTACATTTTCCTTTAAAAAAAAATTAAGGACCCGAGCAACACCAGGTAAATGCGCTAATAAGTAAGCCCTTCTGAACCGAGTGTCACAGTAACTACATCATATATATTTGGTCATAAGCCCGTTCATTCATAAGCCAACCCTCCCAAGTTAAAAAAAATTGTAAAAATCACAATGACCCGTTCACAAGCCGACTCTATATCAGCAGTTTGCAAATGTCTGGTCTCAGTTTATCAGCATACGCCACCGGCACGTTGGGATGTTTTGTGTACCTGGAGCATCTGCCGGCATGGAGCCTCTCAGCTCCCATTGGCTGCTGTTCACCATTCCCAGCCAATGGGAGCCGCAGGAAGCAGCATGGGCCAAGGGACGTGTTGGCTGCCACTTCCTGCCATTTCCATTGACCTGCAAGAGCGAACAGCAGCTACTAGGAGTTGAGGGGCTCCGTGCCTGCAGACACTCCAGGGACATAAAATGTCCTGGCATGCCGACAGTTTGCTCTGCTGGGCTGGGAACTGAAATTTGCCAACTCCCTCAACCTAAAAAAAAATTGGTAAAATGTAATGACCCGTTCATAAGCTGACCCCCATTCTTTACTGCATCATTTTTTTACCAAAAAAAAAATTAGGCTTATGATCAAGTATATACAGTAATAATTACATTAAGTAATTTGAAGTCATGCCCTCTTTATGGCACCATATCCCATTCTAACAGGGATAACTGTTGGGATAGTTTTATGAGGAAACACATAAGCATCTCACTGAGATAACTAAACCAAATTTCTGTCAAGGTATTAATCCCCATCAAGGGTTACATGGACGGCAACTTTGAAGTTTCAAGTAGAATCTGTTTGGAGCTATCCAAGCACAAATGGAACCCAGGCTCCTAAGGGCAGCAATTTCTTTGACAGTTACAGCACACCGGGATCTGAGATACCACAGTTTCTCTTTCAGTCAGTAATATGAAATACCACTGCATGGAAATCATTGGCAAATTGGATACTGTAACATCATGGAATCCCCAGTCACAACTCCATAGTTAAGGATGAATTTCATTTTGCACTTAAAGCCAGAGATTATGAATCAAACACACTGCATGGAGCGACACCAAAAGGAGAAAACATGAGAAAAAAGTATCTACAAATCAGTTGAATCCAGTCAGGAAGCATACCCACTAACATGCTTTAATCCTAATAGTACAGTTATTGCATGCTGTAATCACAGGACAGTTAAGATTATT